TCTACCGCCTCCGAAGCCACCCCCGAAACCACCTCCGAAACCGCCCCTACCACCGTGTCTCTTAAAACCACCCTCCTCTTGATTCTCCTCCTCCTAGAACAAAAGAGAAACACAGGTCAACCGCCGTTTTCCTCCCTTCAACGCGAGCACATCACGAACAAAGAATTTTCGATTAACGTTTTCTAAAATCAACATTCCAAGAAGGGTCGGTGAATGCACGGAAACATAGCCTCAAGCTTTTTACAGAACGGCGAGTGACCTGTGTCTCTCGGATGATGTTTCCAAGCATTTACCTTTGCCTCAAAAGAATTGTTTGCCAATTTCGGGTCCAATTCGACCTGATCGTCCTTTACACGACGAAACGGAGTATTTTTTCCCCCCTAAACATAAAATATGGTAAATCAAAGTGCACTGTCCTTCGACAGAAACGGATGCATCGAATCAAAGGTGTTACCTTGTCGCTGTTGAAGCTGTTGTTCGCTTTCACGAAGTTGCTGTAGTTGTTCTTCTGGGCTTTCGCGGGAGGCTTCTCCTCGGCTTCCTCGTCCTCGTCTTCCTCCACCTCTTTGTGCTTTCTCTTTTCTGTTTTTCCTGGTGTTTTCTGTTGCGGCACCGGTGTCTGCTCCTCGTCGGAATCGCTTTCATCCGATTCCGAGTCTTTCTTGGCGGCTGCTGGTTTTGGAGCTTTTACGATAGGCGCTGCTGTCGGTTTTTCATCTTCCGACGAGTCTGACTCGGAATCTTCGCTGGATGACTTTGCTTTAGCGTTCGCTTTCGCCGCTGTTTTTGCTGCTGGAGTTGTCTTAACAGGCTTCTCGTCCTCGGAGTCATCAGAGTCTTCTGAACTGGACGATTCCTTTTTCTTTGCCGCTGCTTTTGTTACTGGCTTGGCTGCTGGTGTCTCATCTTCGTCGGAGTCATCGGAATCTTCGCTGGAGGATTCTGCTTTCTTAGCTGCAACAGACTTGGCAGCCTTTGTCGCGGCAGGTTTGGTCGGTGTTACCATCTTGGCAGGCTTTTTGGCTGCAGGCTCCTCTTCCTCGCTGCTATCATCGCTGGAAGAGTCGTCCTGCGCAACGGGAGCTTTTTTCGTTGCTGCCGGTGTCGGTGGAGCTACCTTTTTGGGTGGAGCTTTCTCTTCTTCTTCGCTGCTATCATCGCTGGAAGAAGACTTTTCTGCCTTAGCGGACTTTTTCGCCACTGGTGGCGTTGGGAAAGATACAGACTTCTTTTTAGCTGGTTCTTCTTCCTCGCTACTATCTTCGCTGGAAGACTCTTTCTTTGCAACTGGTTGTTTTGCTGGCGCAGCTTTGGTTTGCTTTCCAGGTTTTGTTACTTCTTTCGTTTGCGGAGCGGGCTTTTTCTTTCCTGCGGCAGCTTTTGCAGCTGGCTTCACAGGTACAGCCGGTTCTTCTGAGGAATCATCAGAATCGCTAGAAGATTTTTCTTTCTTTGCAGCTTTAGCAGATTTATCAGGTTTTGCAGGTGCCGCGGGTTTTGCAGTCTCTTCCTCGGAAGAATCATCGGAATCATCGCTAGATTCTTCACCTTTCTTTGATACAGGCTTTACTGCAGCAGTGGGTAGAGGCTTTTTCAGAAGTGGCTTAACAGGACTTTCTTCTTCGCTACTTTCTTCGCTAGAAGACTCTTTTTTACTAGCTTTCGTTTGAGGCTTTGCAATTACTTTAGCAGGAATATTTGTCTTTGATACTTCATTGCTATCCGAATCAGAATCGTCGTCTGAAGATTCTTTCGCTGCAGCTACTTTACTTGCTTTGGGTGTGGAAACTGCTTTAGGTTGCGCTTTTAATTTCTGTTCTTCCTCCGAAGAACTGTCTGATTTTTCTTTTTTCTTTACCGGTGCTTTAGCTGGTGGTTTAGTTTTCACAGCTGCCTTTGGTGCTGGCTGTTCATCTTCGCTGGAGGAATCACCGGAAGATGATTCTTGTTTTTTACTGTTTAATGCGGCATTAGCGGGAGCTTTGCCGTTTACTTGTGTGACTTTCTTCGGTGCTTCACCTTCACTTTCCGAACTCGATTCCGAACTACTGTCTTTAGCTTGTGCTTTTATATGTAATTTCTTAGGTGAAGTCTTTTGAAAATACTGGAATACCTCTTGTATCGATGGCGCTCCTTTCGGTAGCGCGGGCTAAAAAAAAATTGCGGAGCGTGAGGAGCGGTCATATTTTGTAAACAGTTGAATTTAGCTACACAAACGATATTCAACCGGCTCGGCGTTAATATACAATCTCAGGAATAGCAAAGATCGTAACGATCACGAACGATTTACACAGAAAAACGAGATATAAAGTAACGAAAATTCACCCACGTGGTACGGCCGAATGGCGGCACTTCGTACGCCGCATGGGTATTGATGCTATACCGATCGATTAGGTTAAGTATATACGCCAAATTTTTATAGAATCTTACCGCCTTTGTTTTCTTCTGAAAGACCTTTGCCAACGATGCGTCTTTTTTTAATAAATAGTCGTACACAAGAGACGAAACACTCAGCTCCTCAGTTGATGCCATGATGGACGCGTGTGCAAAGAGCTTGGAAAATTAACCACGATTGAAGGCAAGGCGCATGCACCATCCGTTCACGCCTGAGGGGCGCTGCGATCTGCCATGAACCACGTCGAACGTAGATACGACTCTTTTATAGGAATATGATCGCTACTTGCGGAACGCATTGTTAAATATAATTATTAAATTAATACACTTTACAATTAAATATATTTCATTTTAAATATATACGTTTGTGAACATTAAGTTTCGATACAATTATTTAAACAATATTCTCAGGACAATGTCATCAATAGTCACTCCGAATACGAATTTTGCATTAGTTCATGCTACAAGCATTCCTAAAATATATGAAATAATCCCCTTATATTTTGATTGGTGAAATGTCGGTCAATAGGCTGTGCATTGGTCATTTTGAAAATGAAAAACCGGCTTCTATTATAATCCGTGTGGCGATACATTTTTGAACGAAACTTTAGTTTCTTTAGTATTTATTTAACGATACATCTATAAAAATAATGACGGAAACACAACAGAAAGTTAAATGTATAACCCTGAAAGGCTCCGCAGAATTGGTTAAGGAATATCTCCGTAAGTTCTCTTCAAATTAATACTAATCAATTTGGTCGTTAATGGGTTACACATCAAGGTGTCCATTATATTACAGAACATTCTGTTTATTGCAGTTTACGGCGTGAATAGCATTTTATATCAAAGAGGCATCTATCCTCCGGAAACGTTTGAACCTGCTGAACATTTTGGTTTGTTTGTTTTAATGTCTACGGATGACAAAATTAAAGGATTCCTGGATACCGTTCTGGGTCAGATTCAAGAGTGGTTGACTCAACGAAAAGTACAAAAAATAACTCTTGTTATAACGAACGTGAATACCAAAGAAGTATTGGAGAAATGGGATTTCAAAGTTGATTACGAAGATCAACCTTCCAATGGACTAAAGAATAGTACAAGCAATGGCCTTCCCGAGGTTGGGACAAAAGATCCAAAAACCATACAGAAAGAAATACGTGAAGTGATACGTCAAATTACGGGTAAGACTTTATTTCATGGATCTAAGATGCTTACAGAGGAATAACGATGGAAGAAATAATAATGGGATGCCTTGCTTTTCTTTATTCTATTTCAGGAACAGTCAGTTTTCTCCCATTATTGGACTGCTTATGCTCCTTCGATATCTTGACATACACCGTACCCGACTGTGGGATTCCACAACAATGGGATGAAACTCAACCAGTGTTTATCGCTAATAGTCAAGAAGTTCAATTAAGATCCTTCTCCACTTCTATTCATAAAATGGAAACCATAGTTAGCTATAAGAATATATAGGATTAAGTCTTTCACCTTGCAGTTGTCGAAACTTTAATACACTGCAATTCAACCGATTTCAATATTTAATGTCGAAGACTGCTATTTAAATCTTATCCGGTACGCGAACGATCGCTGCTAATGGTCGCGTTATTTTTAAGAGTTTGCACATATGCATTGAAGCTATATTATACCATTGTTTAAGGAGAGTTTCATACAAATATATATATATATATTTTTAACATAAAACTTCCTCCTCTCATTACACCTAATTAGTTTCCATCCGAGTTCGTAAACAGGGAAAGCAAAGGGCTGACAAGAATCTTGGCAGATTTTATTAAAACATAATTGACTATTACACTTAACACAGGAATTATATTATTTTTACTTGGCAAAGCATGAAAGATACGACTAGAATAAAATATTCTTCGTGTCTTACGTTCGTCACATACCAAATCGCAAGTAACGTTCGTCAGCATTACATAAATGTTCTCGCGTGTACCGTTGCTCCAAACCTGTTAAATATTTCGTCCGTTTTCCTTTCGATGTACACACGACACGAATCACGAAACAAATAATGTTAATCCGACCTTTAGAACGCAGGATCGAAACTAAATCCTCGGGAGCACGTACACACGTTGACTAGGCATCTCGTTTATATAAGTAACTCGCTGCGAATTCGTGTCATCATCTCAGTGCGCGACTTTAAATGGAATTTAATAGAAATCTCGGTGTCTCACATAAACTATGTTTCATCTGGTTTTTTTATCGGGGATGTCGAATAATTGGTACTGGTCGTAACACACTCCTGAATCTCTGGTACCTACTCTGTACCAACTCACTCTCTCTCTCTCTCTCTCACTCACCCTCTCCGAATGAAATCCGAAGACCACGTGTCTCATTTTATCTTTCAGTTTTCTTTTTAGGAAACATCAACAGCGGCTTATGCTTTCGTTAATAATTGCAGCGTTCGTTTTCCCTTACAACAATTTTCGCTATTAACTTCGTTTTAACGTACTTCGTGCTGCTAGAGTTTAGCCTTTACGATCCATAGTGCAGTTCGTTTCGCTATTAGACTATCGTTGGAACTGGCGATCGTTCGCCGTCACGCATCGTACAAAACGAATCGCTCGGTCAGCCCTCTTCCGTTTTCGCACCCTCTTTCCGCGCATCCTCTCGAATGATGATCGTTAGCCAACTACCAAGAACAAGGCGAAACTCGCCTGTTACGCCTCTACTGCGCGTTTCCGGTCGCACGCCGACACACTTCCGAGGGCGGACGGCACGTCCGTATTAATCTGTTTAACACAGTACGCAAGCTGAACGCTCTTAAATCTCACCTAGACTATTTAGATTCGCGTCGGTTTTTCTCCCGGTTAGTTTACACACTGCGAAAGCTGCTGGAAATACGTTGAAGTTTATAAACATTATTAAATCCGACTGGTCCGCCGTGAACTGTCTTGGTGACACTCTGCGCGAGCGCACCGTGTTCCGACGAAGTTGATCGGCTGGTCTAGGAATTGGCCTCGCGACGGAATTTAACGAATTCGTAGCGACACGATTCCAGACCGGTGACAGACGCTGTCGCGGCCAAGAGATTCTTGATTTCGATCGGAAAAGTTCAACCGGCTCGACTCGTTCGCCGGTCTTCGCCTAGGTAAATGATAAAGGAAAGGGTCGTTTCGGTTCGCCTGCTCGTCGCAACGACTAGGCACAGCACCGCGGACCAGAACGAGCGTCGTGTCGCTATAACGTTACGCGGTAACCCTCTTGAAGTATGGTAAAAACGCGTCTCCTATCAGAAACATTGGAAAATAAATAACTCGAAACAATATACAATATTTTACAGTAGCGCTTAGTGGTTTGATCCGTGTCGGGGGCGATTCACACGGCTCGGTGATGATCTCGATCTCGACGTAAACGAAAAGATTGGTCGCGTCCCGTCCCGCCCGCCGGCGACCCTCGCGCCGGGCCGACCGGCGGGGCGGCGTGAACGATGACGATCGACGGATCGTCCACCGGTGAATTAACTATTAATTAACATTTGGTACGGCCGTGAGCGGCCGATCGTCGTTCGAGGGCCCGTTCGGTTTGCTCGGAAAAAATCGACACGTTCGCCCTCGCCAACCCTTACTTGGACCGTGCGACGCGATGCACCTCGTGTCCTCGTTTTATACACTTCTACTTAAGATTACCTTGGACTAATCGCTATATTCGATTTACGTTCGTTTTATGCGTAAAATATCATAAAATACATTCCTCTTTTCTTCGCTATGACTAGGCCCATCGTTCCGCTCGGCGCACCCGGCACTCCGCGATTTCTCCCTCCTCCCCAATTTTCCCGAATCTCTTCGTCGTTCCTCAGTTTCGGCGGGGATCGTGTTCGGTGCTCGAGTGTGCGTCGCTTATATAACAGCGTCGGTTTCCGGGGACGCGAGCCCGCACCGAACGGAACGCCGAGCCGTCGATGACTTACGATGACTTTCATACAAATCGTTCGATGGGTACGAGCGACGTGAAATGAACTCGTAACGGAAAAGCACGGCGGCACTAGTAAGCTTGCACGGACATCATACGCTACCATGGTATATTCATCTCGTTTGAAAAAGTCTTTGGTGTGTGTGTCAGTGTATATATGTGTGTATGTACGTGTGTTTGTGTTCGTGTAGTTAGGAGTGGTTTAAGTACATCCTCTCTCCTCTCTCCCGCGGGAGAACGCTTGGGAACACTTTGTTCGCTCGTTCGTACGGCAACTATTTATACGGTGATCGTTTATACCTCTAAAAATGTAAAAAGTTTGGCGCGTGCGTGTCCACACCGATCGAAGTCGACGCGAGGCGGCACAGCTTCGTTCCCGAATTGCTCCGCGTTGTTGACGGAAGCGTTCGTTTAACCGAACGAACGCGACGCATCCGATTCGTCGAATTGCCCGCGATCCAGCGGAATATACTTGTCGCGCCTGCGAAACGCCGAACGATCGTGACTCGTGGATCTGCATCCGATTCGAGACTTCCGGTAAAAGTCTCGGCGATCGGTGTCCCCGCGTTGATTATTATCGACGCGCCTTGTTCTCCGCGGGCGTCACTCGCCGGTCTCTCCGTTCCTTTTTCGCAATCGCCCCGGCCGGGCCAATCGAGGCCGATATCACGATTCGACGGCGACGCGGCCGGAAATGTAATTACACGGGACTTTGCCGAGGCGTTACGATTCTTACGGCGACGCCTCGTCGCGAGTTCCGTTAATTAAAGTACCGAACGCTCGGTGTAATAACGCTGATTCCTCCTCCGAGACCCTCCGGGCCAGACCTCTCCGTTCCGAAGTGTTTAAAGACGACACGCTCGTACGCTCGGCGTCTCGATCGATCGGTGGCAGATTGTACACGCTCCGCACCGGGGATACAAGGAATACTTTGTACAAAGAGCGTCCTGGACGCGTCCCCGTCGCACGCTGCAACGAGCCGTCGAAAACCGAGGAGCACCTTCCGCGCCGGATTCATTCGTGACTCTGAACGTTCGGTCGCGTTCCTCGAGGCGGGCGTACTTTAATCGTTGAATATTTCAGCGCTGTCGATCGTCGCGACACGCGATCCTTTCGTTAAAGTTTCGCGGGAAAGAAATATTGCGTTCAAGTGCTAGCTGTTCGGTCGAGAGATTAAACGAATAAATAAATCGTAGCTTCCGGGAGCGGAGTCACGGTTCTATTGTACGAAGACGAGAATCTTTGGAAATCGGCCGAATCCGTCGGTCCGCGCAATTACGTGTCCCGCCTCGAAGACACCGACACCTAGAGAGACTCGTTGATCCCGGGAATCCTATTACAAGATCTCGGGATCGTCCGGGTCGAGTCTTTCTTTCCGCGATCCCGTAAAACGGAATCGCCGCGCGTCCACGTGGCGCTGTAACGATCCGCACGTGCTCACGGGGAAGGTTTACGACGTCCGACTCCTCCGCTCGGCTTCTCCCGCTTCCCTCGGATTCGGAAACAAAAATGAAAGTCCCTGGGGATCTGCGAGCCGTTTGTCACGGGGAACTAATATCCGCGACGTCCTCTCCGGCGGCGGCCGCCCCCGGGGAGCGCGATATTGGAAGGGAAAATCAAAAAGCACGGGGTGAATCGGCCGTGCGATTAGACGATCATTCGAACGTCCGTTTTAATTTCCGGCTCGCTCAAATGATCCGCGAGCGGCGAGCACTTCGGGGGGAAAATTAAAGTTAGTGGAGCGCGCGCCGCCGGGAAAAACCGCGCCCCGGCGAGCGGCGGTTTGCACGGGACGGACGCGCGGGACTTAAATTCGATTCGGCCACGATATTTTTCCTCGTGGCACTTCGGGCACGCGGGCGGTTACGTTTATCGCGCGCCCCGACATTTTCGGGCCGGGCGCAGCGAGAGAAAACGAAGAGGAGCCGGGGAAACGGAGCGTTCTTTTTTCCCCCTCTGGTTGTTTTCGAACGTCGAATTCAACCGCGGCGACCCTTTCTCGTCCGCGAGCACGCTGCTTTCGTTCGACGGCGTTGCTCGTCCGGATCCCTTCCGTTTCTCGTTCCTCGGCCCGTCGTTCCGAGGTACACGTCGAATCGCACGACGACGCTCTGAAATCAGAAAAGATCGGTCGATTAACGCGTCAAGCGCCATGAGCCACTGGTGAATGACTAAAGAACAATCGTAACATACAAGACAACCGATGTGGAATAAAAATGTTTAATAAGGCAACTAAGTTGATGTAACGCAAACGTTGCAAACAATTCATAAGTATTTCTACTTTTCTTTGCTACAAAAGACAAACTCTATGGGAAAACGCTTAAGATTTTCGAGACGTCTCGTCGCGAGAGAAGTCACCGATAACGTCGATCTCGAATGATAATGTTGGCAGAAATTTCAATGTTATCGTTCAATAATTTCAAACGAACCGGACAATCCTCCGAGATCATCCAAGTTTCGAGGGAAGAGCGACGAGTGTTATGGAAGTCTGGGAAGAATCACCTGCTGAGGATGATCCGAGCGATCGACGGTGCCGATCGATAGGTGGTAGCTTCCGCGTGACGGAAGGCGTTCTTCAGCCGGAAATGCACGCTCCTCGGCGATAGTTCGGGCAAACTAGTTGACGGCGCCGGTCCGACGACGGTCCAGGATGCGGGATTCGCGTAAATGACGTTGGTCGGTGAATCGCTTCATCTCCTGGGGCTCTCCTGCGACAGGAAGTAGCCGTCGAAATTATTCGTGGACCGCGAAAGGTAACGGGTGATGCCTCCGCCTCGCCCGGACTTTCCGGCCTAATTAGCCCCGGATCCATTAAGTTTATCTGGGGGCATCGGGGTCGCCAAGTTCCCCGGGGAGCCGACGCCGTAGGAGGAAAGTTCGGCCAACGGGCGGGAGAGATAACTCTGGACTAAGTAGCGAATGATTAAGCCGGAACACCGTAGATCGTATGTTTCTACCGCAGCCATCCGAACTACGACCCTAAGTAACAATTAGTCCGTTTCAGTGAATCTCTACGCTTAAGAGCCATCCGATTCGGGGCCTCGGGAGACTCGAAGGGAACGAGACCAGAAATTTCGAACGGCCACCGATCGGATAGCAGTCTTGATGCTTTCACGGCCTGGAATATTGTTACACTCATTTTTGGCTTTCGCGCGGAATCGCCGATCCCCAGCGCGCGATCGCGGCGAATAGCTTGAAAACAACGATCCCCCGGAATCCTCGGTTGCTGAACACTGATTCGAGAACGTACGAGAACTTTTTCCCCGCGGCTTAAAAACCGTAACGCCCGGTTATCAATAAAGATGATTCCATTCCGCGTTAAACCGGGAGAAAGAAGCGGCGGAGAATATGCAAATGAACGGGGCCGGCCCCGTCCCCGATCCACCGTCCACTCATCCATACCGTTGATCTACGTTACGATCGGTGCGAGCAAACAGAATCGGTAATAGATGCGCGCGGCCGACAAATTCGTTTTTGCCGCGTGGAGAGGGCCGATAATGGTCTTTGCTTCTAATTAGCACGGGTCATTAGGTTTATCTATGATCGTTAAAGTCACCGGAGCCTCGGTTCTTGTCCCGGCCGGGGGACCCGGACGATTTTCATCGGCTTATCGCCGGATTCCCGCGCAATTATCGCGTATTAATAATACACGATCGTCGTTCGGCGACGAATGGAAAAAATCGCGCAACGGGGCCGGGCGAGGGGAAAAAAATGGGGGGAGAAATAAATTCCGGTCGCCCGACCGCGTGAAACGAAAGCGGGAAATTTAATTTTTATCTCTGCCCGGCCGCCCGCGGGGGATGGTCGTTACAATTTGTCCGAGTAATTGATTTCGATCGTCAAAGAACAGACGCGTAAAGCGAGTTCTTTGTCCGCCATCGTTGGCGATTACCTTTCGCCGCGTAAAAGCCCGGTCCCTCCCTCCCGCCCCCTACCCCTTTTCATCGAGCGATTTTAATTGTCGTTAATTTCCCCGCTTACCTCCCATTGTCGGGTGAATCCGGCGGGGCCGTATCGGCGTCGGCGGGGGCGGACGACTAACGAGTTTCGCTAACGCAGTTTAGTTCCCCTAATACGCGATAGTCAGCACTTGGCGCCGTCCTACGGATTCGTAGCTCGCAAGTGTCCTATAGTTGGTATAGAGCATCGGCTTTGAAACCGTACTAAGTTAGCCGGGTTACCCGCGCGTTGAGTAGTTTGCAAGTCCATTATAGTGGCGTTAAGGGCGCGTATCTTGCACACGCTCGCAACCGGTCCGCCCGCGCTCGCGCGCGCGCGCGTAAATCTTCGCGGGACCATCCCGATAGCTGCAGCTGACTCGGTCGCGAAAACGCTTCGCTATCGAATCCCGTTTCTTCGATCTTGTACAAAGGGCGTGCCGAATGATTTAGGGGCCGCGGCCGGGAATGTTTCCCGGCGGCAATCTAAACTGCGATCGCGATCGATCCGACGAGCCATGGATTACGCGCGGCGTGCGCGGCGACACGGGACAAAACGAAATCGACCGTGCGTCGCGCGGCGTCGATATCGAAGCGTTACTTTCAACGATGCAAAAATCGGTGTCGAATCGAATATTTAACTGGAGTGACTAGACAATGATAAGAACACCGATACCGAAGCGTTACTTTCGAGTTACAATGCGACAATCGGCGTCGAATCGAATTAACTAGAGTAACTAGACAATAATAAGAACTCCGATACCAAATCTGTAACGGTCCTTTAAAATAGAACTTGTATTACACGCGTCGATCGATGTTTCGGAGAACTATTTCAATGAAAATAACGATACGAAACGATCGCTCCGTATTTCCCACGATGCGAGTTCACGACGGCGTCGGTGTAACAGCCACAGGCTTAGCTGGATTTCCCGAGGCCTCTTCCCAGCATCGCGGCAACGATTTCTCCCCGACGATCGTTGCGAGTTTTTACCTCGCGAGGCGTTCGAGCTCGCGTTTCGGGCTCCGGTTTTTTCCCCGGGCAGCAGCCTTTTTCCACGGTGCAGAGGTTGCAGCGAGTTAGGAAAGAGCTCCGGCACGGATATCGCGAACCTCATATCCCAGGGCACTCTTTCCCCGGCGTCCCACCCCCGGCCCACTTTCGTCGGTCTCCGAGTTCCCTCTCGCGAAACGACCAATCCTCCGCGCGTTCCTCTGCGATGCGCTATCTAAGGACTCCGGGGATAGCCCGCTGGATATTACACATCGGGTTCCGCGTTTATTAATCCGGGAATAACTTCCGCCGAGGCGGCCGGCTAACATTTCCGTATCATCGACGAGAAACGAATCCGCGTGGTTAATTTCCGCGGCGATGGATCTCGACGCGATCCAGCGGAACGCAACGCGGTGTCGCTTACCTGTGGGAATCGATGGCGTGGCCGGACGTTCGTCGCAAGCTCG